TTGCCATTTCTTTCTCCAGCTCATTTTACAGAAGAAGAAACTGTGGCAAGCAAGTGACTTGCCCAGGATCACAGAGCTAGTAAGTGTCTGAAGTCATATTTGAACTCAAGCTTTCCTGATTTCAGTCTGGTATTCTAATCCACTGTGAAGAAGAGGTTTTGAATGCCATTAGGCTCCTTTCGTGTGGCAAAGCACATGGTGCTGATTCTGTTCCAGCCGAGATTTACAAGGTAGGGGGATCCGTTGCTCATACAAAAGCTGACTGAAATTTTCCGGGTTATATGGCAAGAGGAGATTATGCCAGAAGTTTAAGGCTGCCTCCATTGTCCATCTCTATAAAGGTAAAGGAAATAAGTTGTTCTGTGACAATCAGAAGGGGGTCTCTCTCTTAGTCATTGTTGGCAAAAATCTTGCCAGGGTCCTCCTTATTAGGCTGATCATTCACCTGGAAGATGGTCCTCTAGCTGAGAGCCAGTGTGGCTTCAGAAAGGGCCAAGGAACAGTCAATATGGTATTTGCTGCCTGACAACACCAGGAGAAATGCCAAAAGCAGAACAGAGGTCTCTATACAACATCTGTAGATCTGACCAAGGCCTTTGATGCAGTCAGTCAGGAGGGCTTTTGGAAAATTATGTCAAAATTTGGTTGCCCAGAGAAGTTCTTCAGTATTGTACATCAATTTCATGACTTCATGCTTGCCAGGATTCTGGATAATGGGTGATGTTCTTGTACTTTCCCCAGTCACCAGTGGAGTGAAACAAGGTTGTATGCTTGCTCCCATACTTTTTAGCCTGATGTTTTCAGCCATATTATCAAACACCTTCAATGAAAATGAACGCCGCATCAAGGTCAGCTATCGCACTGATGGCAAATTCTTCAACTTGTAAAGGCTGCAAGACAAGACCAAAGCGGAGAGAGTGTTGGCGTGTGATTTTTTTTTGTTTGCATATGATTGCGCACTCAATGCAGCCTTTGCAGCTCAGATGCAACAAAGTATGGATCATTTCTCTGTTGCCTGTGCTAATTTTGGTCTAACAATTAATACCAAGAAAACACAGGTGCTCCATCAGCCAGCACCACACCATCCATCTATGGAACTATTGGTTACAGCAAATGGAGAAGTTTTGAATGCTGTGGATAAGTTTGCTTACCTTGGCAGTATACTTTCTAGGGATGTACATATTGATAATGAGGTTGAGGCACGCATTGCCAGAGCTAGCTCAGTGTTTGGGAGGCTCTGAAGGGAAGTGTGGGAGAGAAGAGGTATTAGACAGATTACCAGACTGAAGGTCTATGGAGCCATTGTGCTGACCTCATTGTTGTAAGCTTGTGAAACCTGGACAGTGCATCAGTGCCAGGCCAGGAAACTGAATCGCTTCCATTTGAATTGTCTTAGGAAGATTCTGAAGATCACCTGGCAGGATAAGATACTAGACACTTAGGTCCTTTCTCGAATTAAACTGCCAAGCATTCAAACTCCACGGCAGAGAGTGCAACTCCAATGGGCTGGCCACATTGTTAGAATGCCAAACCCACGCCTGCCTAAAAGACAATTTTATGGAGAATTCACACAGGGCAAGTGCTCACATGACGGTCAGCGTTACATGGACACTCTCAAGGTCTCTCTTAACTTTGGAATTGGTTATGTGGCATGGGAGACACTGCCACAGGGCCACCCAGCATGGTGTGCCCTCATCAGACAAGGTGCTGTGCTCTATGAGCAAAGCAGAATTGAAGTAGCTCAAAAGAAATGAGATTTGCAAATTTAGAGAATCCATCCCAAATGTTCACATGGACTATTTTTGCCTGACCTGTGGTAGAGCATTCCGAGCTCATATTGGTCTGATCAGCCACAGTCAGAGGCACTGTAACTTGACTCTAGCCCAGTGATGTCATTTTGGTTCTCTTTGAGAATGAAGGACAACAACCAAGTCACCTAGCTGCCCATCTTACATATAAGATAATAGCTAGCATTTATATAGTAGAAGATTTTTTTTAAAAAGCTAGCATTTATTAAACACCTACTACATGCCAAGCGTTTAAGAAATATTATTTCATTTGATCCTCGCAACAAACCCTGGAAGGTAGGTACTATTATTATACCCATTTTATAGATGAGGAAACTGATGTTAAATGACTTGCCCAATGTCACATAGCTAGTCAGTGTTAGAGGTAGAATTTGAACTTAAGTCTTCCTGACTCCAGGCCCAATGCTCTGTCTACTCTACCATCTCTCTCTAGAAACTTTCCTTGGATTCTTTTGTCTTAAGGATATCTTGGGGCAGCTAGGTAGCACAGTAGATAGAGCACCCTCCCTGGAGTCAGGAGGACCTGAGTTCAAATCCAGCCTCAGACACCTGATACTTACTAGCTGTGTGATCTTGGGTAAGTCATTTAACCCCATTGCCTAGCCAGAAAAAAAAAGGGTATCTTAATATCCATAATGTCTTAAAGATAAAGATAAACGTAGCATTCAGTTGCTTTTCATCCTTAATACATGGCCAGTCCTTCTCCCATTTGGTTTGTATTATATGTATAACTGGGGCAGCTAGGTGATGAAGTGGATAGAGTGGAGTCAGGAAGACCTGAGTTCAAAGCTGGCCTCAGACACTTACTAGCTGTGTCAACCTGGGCAAATCACTTAACCCTGTTTGCCTCAGTTTCCTCATCTGTAAAATGAGCTGGAGAAGGAAATGGCAAACCATTCCAGAATCTCTGCCAAGAAAACCCCAAATGTGGTTATGAAAAGTTGGAAACGACTGAACAACAACAAAATATGTTTAACTTGGACAAATGCGGCATATAGACAACAAGCCAGGCCCAGAATTTGGTAGGAGCAGGAAGATGACATTTGGGAAACTACAGATCTTTTAATGATCTCATATTGCTCACTGCCACAAAAGTCCTTTTTTAGAATCACAGATGTAGAGCTGAAAGGGACTTCAGAGGCCATGCTGTCCAAACTCCTCATTTTACAGATGTGGAAACAGGTCAGAGGGAAAAAAAGTAAATTGCCTGAAGTGACACAGGGGGTGCCAGAAACAGAATCTGAACTCTTGTCCTCAGACTCCAGAGCTAGTGATCTTTCTACTGTACCCTACAGCCTCCCTCTTTATGATCTCTCATTTCACCAGGCGATGTTATATGGGTGCACATCAGGGAACTCCACAAATATGAGAATAATAAAGCTGGGTTTTAGACTGGTTTGTAGAAATCCTATAAATGAGAGTTACACTAAAAACTGACATCTACATATACTTTAATACATTAGGTCATTTTAGCCTCATAGCAATCTTTTGAGACAGGTACTATACCATCAGGGTCACTATTTTAAATATGAGGAAACTGAAGGTGGATCTTTGTATGACCTAATTTACAAGTAACAAATATCGATTTAAGGCAAAAGTGATCAGAGAGGGAAGATCTTCCTACACGTCTCTCCTCTATTCAGTAGACTCTAGAATCAAATACAGTTATCTCTTCCATATCAAAGGGTGAGGCATTCCCCCCCCCCCCAACCTGGAAAATCCACGTGAAAATTTTTGGGCCTCCTTTTGTACCAGAGAGGATGTCTGAATTGTTTCTTTTTCCTTTATGGGGTGTTTATAATATCTTCTCGTAAAAATTGGGTTTAGTATTTTTCTGTGTTATCTGCTGGCCTTCAAGTGTGGTCTGGGGCTTCCACAAAACTCCTTCAAAATTCCCATTTAATTTCTTACGCCGACCCTCAATATATAGAAACTGTGATGGGGAAAGTCATGATATGGAAGGGATAACTGTACATGTACAGACTCTTCTGTGGAGCTTTCAAAATACTTCATCACCTTGCTCCAACCTTCTGGATTTATTGCTTAGTATCTTCTTCCCCCAGCCCAGACCAAACCGGCCTTCTGTCTGTCCCTCACAAATGAGATTTCCTTCTTCTCAGTCCCTGTCTTTTCAGTGCTCTTCCCTCATGCCTAGAATGCACTCCTTTTTCACCACACGACCACTCTCCAGCTTCCCCTATCTCCTGAAATTACTTTGAATTTATTTTGTATATGAGATACACATGTGTATGTATGTATATGTTCATGTGCTGTTTTTCCTAATGGAAATTAACCTCCCTGAGGCACTGCAGAGTGCCTAGAACATGGTAGACACAATTATTTTTATTGGTTGATTCTTTTTTACAACATGACTGAAAGGCAGGCAACTCTGTGTTAGGAAAACCTGGGTTTAAATCCCACCTCAGACACCCACCAACTCTGTGACCTTGAGTCACTTAAACTCTCTGTGCCTCAGTTTCCTCATCTGTGAAATGAGGGGTTGGACTAAAGTCTCTTTCAGCTGAAAAGCAACGGATCCTATGTCCATTGTGCCTTCGGGAAAACGGAAACACTGCTTGAATGACCTGCCCCAAACTTAAATTCATGTGGATGGAGTGGAGGAGAGGGAGGTAGGGTGGGGGAAGTGAGAAGAAGGAGGAGGAGGTGAGAGAAAGGGAGAGGAGAGGGAAAGAGAGAAAGAGGAAGGGGAGGGAGGGAGGGAAAAAGAGGGGGAGGAAGGAGTGAAGGAAGACAAAGAGAGAGGAAGGGGGGAAGAGCAAGAGCAATGGGGGTAGACGGGGAGAAGGAAGAGAGGGAGAGGGAAGGAAAAGAAGTGGGAGAGCTGGAAGGAGTTGAGGGGAGGGGAGGGAAGGGACAGCCAGATGGGAGTGGGTAGGATGCCCTTGATCCCGCCGCCAGGGGAAAAGCAGGGCGGGGTCCCGCGGGCCCGACCATTCCGCGCAGCGGGGGCGGCCTGCCTGAGCCTCGGCCAGGGCGCACCTGCTGCGCGGCGGAACCGAGCGCAGGTGGCCACGGTTTTCCGGGCCATGGGGGGAAGAGCTTAAGTAGGCACACCGGAAGGGCGGCCCGGGACGGAGCGCGTGGGGCGCGGGGTGCGGAGCGAGGCCGGTAGAGGCGCTGGTGGGCGGCGGGGCAGGCGGTGAGTCGGCGCCGGGCCGCCGGGCGGGGAGGAGGACGGGGAGGACGGGTTGGGTGTGCGGCCGGGGAGCGGCTGCTGGCGCAGCGTGGGGTCCCGGCCCCGGTGCAGCTCCTCGGGGGCCCCCTCTGCACGGGGGCAGCCCCACTCCTCCCCACCCCGCCCGGCGGGGGGGCGGCGCGGACTGACTTGTTAGTCTGCGTTCTCGTTCACCTCCAGCTCCTTAGACCCCCCGCTGCGGCCGGACACGCGTGTGGGGAAGGAGAAAAACGGGGAGATCCCCTTGACTTGGCTAGCAGACAGCAACAGACTGGCTTGCACCTCTCCGGTGGCACGTTGCATGGTTTTTTTTCCTTCTCTAGTCACTGTGGTCTACGCACAGGTTTTCTCAATTCTGCTTGATTGTAAAGTGCTTAAGGGCCAAGACTGACTTTATCTTGTGTTCCAGGGCTTCTTCAGCTTTAGTGAATGAATGAGTGAATGAATGACATTACCTTATATTTATGCAATCCTTTTCATTTTCAAAGCACTTTCCGAAGCCATCTACCTTTTTGATCCACCCAAAACTATGCAGGATAGGTATTGTTCCCACTTTACAAATAAGGAAACTGAGGCCCTAGGACTGGGAGTCAGGGTATCAGAATTTCTGGGCTGCCACTGACTTGATGCATGATCTTGAATAATTCACTTAACTCCCTTGGGTCTGTTTTCTCATCTGTTATACAGGGATAATAATATCTGCCCTATTTACCTCTGGTCTTTAGGAAGATATAAGGAGATGGTAGATATCAGAGGTCTTCAGAACATATAAAGTGGTTTGCAAACTAAAGTTATTTGGCCAACTATTTAAAATTGAGGAATTCTGGAGTTAGGGTGGAAAGAGTTCTATCAAGATTTCTGTGTTGAGTATTCAATTTATAAGGCAGATTGTTCAAAGGTAATGAAAGTTAACTGATAATCGCACTGCTTCTTCTGTACCTGTGTTGTTTCTATTATGTGTTAATTCATCCAACTCAAATGATGTCCCAAATGATTCAGGAACAGTTTTTTGAGTTGATATTGTATTGATTCATAGCATTCACAGTATCTTCCCTTTTCTTGGGTAGGATGGAGAAATCCATATGTCAGGAGCTAAGGAATTCTCTCTCTAGATATTTTAGCTACTACGTTCAGGGCAAGGTGCTGGATTTAACCTGAGGGAATCTCAGACAGTTTGAGGGACCTCAGGTACCACGTAGTCCAGACCCTACACAAATAGACTCCCATTCTATCATACTTGACAAGTGGTCATCTGACCTTTGCCTGAAGACTCCTAAGGAAGGGGTGCCCATTACATCTTGGAAGCAGACCATTCTACTTTTGGACAATGCTAACAGTCCTAACTTCAAGCCTAAATTGATCTCTTTGCAGCTTTGACGTATTCATAGTACCTGGTTTTGCCCTTTGTGGCAAAAAGAACAAGTCTAATGCCTCTTCTACATGAGAGCCCTTTCAGATACTTGAAGACAGCTCTCAGGTTCACATTAACTTTCAAGTCAAAGTGATGGTGTGGTTAAGGAAGAGACGACATTTGTTCCTGCTAAGCCTTCCTTATTAAATGATATTAGACCAGTGGTAATGAAAGGGAAGAGCTTCTTACTTTAGTCTGTGTTCATGCATGTGTTAGAAATAGACTGGACACCAAAAATTTAGTATCAAGAAAATTTATTATAAAGAAAGTCCAGAGGATTTAGATGTTTCTGGCCAGAAGTGGGGCTCCTCCCCTCTTCAGGAGAGGTGGGCCCTGAGTGTAAGGGCAAATGTGCTTTTATGCAGTTGAATTCGGTGCGAAACCTCCCAGGCCGGGATTGGTCCATCCCGTTAATGAGGCTCTAATTTTATGCGGGGTGTGTCAGATAATAGTAATGAAGTTCATTAAGCGGGTGCACTAACATTTTTCAGGTGTCCTCAGGTTGACCCTAGCTAGTCTGAGCTGGCTCGACCCCTATCTTGATTTTGGGGTCTTCTTGGAACAATCCACTTACTTCCTATTGGTCAAGCCCAGGCCACCTACAGTGTTCCACCTCCAGGGACCTTTGTTCTTTAAATCTCTGCATTATTCTACCTGTGGAAACATAAGCCCTTCTAACTCTAACACATGTATATGCTGTTTAGCCTACTTAGACTTCGGGTCATCCGCATCTTTGAAGACTGGCATTGTAAGACTCTTAAACATCAAGGGATCTCCAGAAGAACATTTGTATTAAGAAGATGAGTGTTTGCACCAGGGAGTGGGTTGATGTTGTTAAAAGTACTGCACAGTTTTCTAGATATAGTTCAACTTGTTCTCTTCATCCTGTTCATTTCTGGACTCCAATACATTATCCACATGAAGTACCTGTCCTAAACATATGTACTAATGTGATACTTCAGTTAAAGGCCTTGCCTTCAACCTAAATACCATACTCCAGACTAAAGGTGTGGTTTTTTCTTTTAGTTTTTTCCTTCATGGATTGATAATGCTGATACCTTTTGGGTAGTCATGGATTATATTGAGGAGGCTTTGGCTTACCACATTCAGCACTTTGTCTTTCTGAAATGGATACACCTGGAGAACATCTTCATATCTAGGGAATCCTCCCATTTGGTCACTTTACAGAACATCCTCCATTGTTCCTTTGGCAAGCATATTCTCCCTGATTTGTGCCTTGTTGGACAGTGATTAACAGAGGGGCATTGGAGAGTTACCTCTATAGTTGCCTTTATTATGTAATCTTACATGATACTATGGATAGGAGACACCTCATTGGAGGAAGGCCTTTAAAGCTGCATTTTGATCCTCCAAGTCAAGGGTTTCTTGTAACTGATAAATATAATAGGGTCTTGTATTCTTTGCAGCTTTTAGTCAATTAAGGGATTGTAGAGATGTGGCCTGCTATAGAAAAATTTTTTGTAAAAGACTCTGTTCCCTTCTCATAATTTCATAAAGGATACCCTGAAATGTGTATAGACCATTCTCATAAAAACTTGTATAAAGATGAGAAAATGAGCATGTGGGTTGTAGTTGTTAATATCTTCTAGATTGCTTTTTTGGAATATTAATGTCGTCATTGATTTTTTTTCCCATTCTTTTGGTGCCTTTCCCTACCTGAGTTATCTTATAAAATGATCACTAGGATCATAGAATTAGAATTGAAAGGGACTTTGTAGTCCTTTAGTTCCAACCCACTCTTTGTATGGATGAGGAAACTGACGTCTGGAGAAATTAATTAATTTAACAGCATCACAGAAGCAGTTAGTTGTAGAGCTGGGATTTGAACCTAGTAGCCCTGACTCCAAATGCAACCCTGAAAAAAATGATTTTTCAAGCCTGGTCTTCCCCAGTCAGTCCACTGAGCTGTTTCTAACTTAACCATATTCCCTCTTGCTCCTTGAACCCCACTGCATCTAGAAACTTCCATATAGTTCTGTCAGTCAGCAAATGTTTACTAAGTGTACTTGTTGAGCCAGACACTCTGCTAGGTTCTGGGGATGCAAGAACAAATGAAACACTTCTTGCTTTGGCAGAAGCAGCTAGGTTGCACAGTGGACAGAGCGCTGGGCTTGCAGTCAAGAAAACCTAAATTTGCATCTGATCTCACACGCTTACTATCTGGGTCACCTTGCTCAGCTGTAAAATGATGATCATAATAGCAACCTATCCCTCAGAGTTGTTGTACAGATCAGATGAGATAATTTAAAAAAAAACTTGGTACAGTGTCTGGCACATCGTAGATGCTTTAAAATGCTTGTTCTTCTCCCTTCAAGGAACTTGCATCTTAGATTGGAAACTTCCAGTTTCCTAATTCATTGGTAGCTCTCTGCTTTCACTTTAGTTGTGGGAAAACAATCTGACTTGTCTGAGTGGGATTCCTCTGATGGTCATAAATACCTGAGTTACCCTAAAGCATGGAGTGAGGATACCCCGAGGAATTTGAGATCATACCAGACTTCTTTCCCTGAAGTCCATTGTATCCAAGGTTACCTGATGAAATCTTGGTTGTTTCCCAGTCTTGTCCTTCCCAGTCCCACTTTAGAGGTATCAGATCTGGCTCTAAGGTGGGGAAGTTGTCTTGGCCCCAAGGATGGAAGAATGTCATTGAGTTGCTTTTGGGGGTTGATTTACCCTAGTTCAGAGAATTGCTCAAGTACCTTTTATTTGTTGACCCCACCTCTCCTTCCCTCTTCCTTCTGTGGGCCTAGGTAAGCCATGTAACCTTTTCTTAAGGGTGCTGAATGAAAGAGCATGGCTGCTTTTTCGAATTCTTCCGTGAAGCCTCCTATTCTTAGCAACAGGCCCTGACTGCTTTTATGATTCTGGTTCCCCAGCACAAATTTCCTTTATGTTTACTTAACTGGTTTGCCCCCTCTTTCTGCCTTTGTCTTCTTAAATGCCGTACTTCCTTGTATAGCACAGAAGGGCCTGGGATAGTGGGTTTTAAATGTCCACTGTCATTCATTGTAAAAATAAGTGATTATAAAGTACTGACAGCATTTGTTTCATTTTCCACTTGGTTGTGCTGTCAGCAGTTACTGGCTTCTTTTGCAGGGGTATTTCATTGTTTTGGAGGTGATTCTGTTTATGCTTCAGGTACAGTATAGGACTAAGAACATGAGTAGGAGGGACCAGTAATTGACAGGAGACAGTACTCCCCCCCAAAAAAAAAGCCTTTTTCTTGGTGACTGTACATATGCACAAAGTGTAAATAATAAACGAAGTGAACTCTAGAACCTAAGGCAAGGAGGCAAACTCATCCTCATTGTTTCAGTGAGATTTGGTAGAATAAAATTTGTGATCGGGAAATGGCTCTAGAAGGATTCCTTTTAATAATAAGGAAAAGAATAAATGTTGAAGTAATTTGTTTATTAAGAAGATACATGAGAAAGTTCAGGAACTGGAAGAGAAGTTATTATGGAGAACATTTGGATGAGAATCGGTGGAGGAAGAAACAAGTATTTTTTTTTTATGAGTATGTTCTAGACCGGGGTGAGGAACCTGCGGCCTCAAGGCCGCTTGTAGCCCTCTTGGTCCTCAAGTGTGGCCCTTTGACTGAATCCAAACTTCACAGAACAAATCCCTTTAATAAAAAGATTCATTCTATGAAACTTGTACTCAGTCAAAAGGCTGCATCCGAGGACCTAGAAGGCTACATGTGGCCTCCAGGCTGCAGGGTTCCCCACCCATGCTCTAGACCCATTTGTACAGAAGGAGGAGATAGACTCAGAGTTTAGGAAACTTTACCTGTCGTGGGGGCATGATAGTGTAGGGCTGGGGAACTTTACTTATCAGGACATCTGCTAGAGCACTCTGGCAAAAGCAGAGTGCCTAATGAAACTTTTCACTTTGATTTACTGATAATCTGATTCTTTAGAACATAAAAGAAAATAGTTTAAATCCTTTAATGAGGCATCTGTCCAGATGAAGGAGTCTAATTATCTTGTTCTCTGTCATGGTCAAATCACATGTGGAGTGTTGTTCTGGGCACATTTTGAAAAAGGACATTGAAGGGTAGGGAGTATCCAGAGGTGATAGGACTGTAGACCATATGAAGGTCATTGAATGAACTAGAAATGCTGAGCTTGGTCAACAAGTCAAGTCAACAAGCCTCTGTAAAGTGCTTGCTTTATTTCAGTCACTGTGCCTAGGGATGAAGATAGGAGGTGGTGGAGACGTGACAACTGTTTTCAAATATTTGAAGAAAAAAACCTCGTAGAGAGCATAGACTTGTTTTTCCACAAAGCATATACCCATTAATTCAGGACTGGCTAAACCAATTACAGTACAGAATGTCACAGTGCTGTAAGAGGAGGTGGATATGATGAATACAGAGAATCAGAGAAAGACTTATATGAACTAAAAATAAAAGTTTCCTTTAAAAAAAAGTCACCTTGTTTTTCTCTGCTCCAGAGAACAGAGCTTGGTAATCCTTGATGCCAGGAAAAGACTCCTAATAATTAGAGTTGTTCAGAGTAGAAGTTGTTGCCTTAGAAGGTGGTGCCTTCCCAGGGTGGCTGGAAGAACGATTGTTAGTGGTGTGGTAGAGAAGACAAGGCTGAACTAAATAACTGCCGGTTATTGTTAAGATCAAGTCTTATGCGGAGATTCTTTGATTATTTGAGGGGTTGGGTGAGTGAGGAAGGGAAGGGGAAGACAGTGACGTGAGCAAAAGCACAGAGAGAAGAGAGTAGACTGGAAATGGGGGATAGAGGATAGTCCAGTTTGGTTAGATTCTCAAGTTCATGGAAGGGGAACAGAATAAGGTGAAAAAACAGAGTGAACCTACGGTATAAAAGACTTTTAATGCCACTGGTTTCTATTTTATTTAGTAAGCAGTGGAGTACCACCCCAGTGGTTTTAGTTAGCAGAGTGGCACTCAGAACAATCTTTTAGGAAGATTACGAGTGTTACGTTGGGAAAATTGGATTGGAGAAAGGATAGAAGTAGAGCTGAGTAGGAAAACATTACCGTAGTCTAGGAAAGAAGAGCTAAGTGCTTAATGCCAAGGAGATTGCAGAAGTAAGAAATGAGAGGATCAGTACAAGAGATATCATGGAAGAAGTTTTGACCGACTTGATGGCTGATTTGGATGTGGGCATGCTCTTGAGGAAAGAATAAAAAATTGAGTGTGAGTAACTAGAGAATGGTCATGATTTAAACAGAAAGAGAAGTTAGGGGAAGGTACAGGTTTAGAGAATATTAATTGATTTCAAAATATGTGGAGTGGGCCATCTGGATGGAGATGTACTTTAGGCAAAAATAAGGATTAAAAAGTAAAAAAATAAAAAAGAGGTAGCAGAAAGAATATGAATATCATGTGATTACCCTGGAGACCTTATGCTAATGTCCGCTCTTACCTTCCAGGTTCTGGTAAACTAGCTAGCCTACTAGAGAAGATGACTCAACTTGTCAAAACCTTTCGGAACCATTGGAAGAAAACTACATTTGGTGCCTGCCTGTTGACCTGGGGAGGACATTGGCTGTATGGAAAACACTGGTAATTATCTGATTTTCTTTTTTGGGAAAAATAAAAAAGTGGCTGTAGGGGAGAGGTTGTATAATGAAACTAATTAAAACCGGTTGCACTTTCTATTCTAAATTTGAGTTCTTTTTTTAAAGCTTTTGTAACTAGAGGTTACAGGAAGCTAAGCAGAGTTGTCAATTTAATAAGTCATTATCTGTAGGTTGAAGAACAGATGATGGAGAAGGGCCGTTTTCTGCATTCTAAGTGGGGAAAATTGTCAGAATAGCTTCCTATGATTGGGAGGAATCTAGGCTTAAGGATTTTTGTACTGCTTTCTAGGGTTTCTGCCCCTTTCCTATCTTTCCTACTTTCCCACTCAGAATAAGCTTATAGTGCCTAACCCCCATTTTTTTGCTCCTAAAGGACCTCATCACTCAGCCCCTCCAGTCCATTAGCTTTCCAATGACTGTTGATTCCCTTGTGCCCTTGGCTCTCTGGCCACTTAATGTACTTCACTGCTGCCCTTATTCTGTTCTTCCCCCTTCCTGTGTGTCCCTCCCTAACCTTGTTTGCCTTCGTGTGCTGCTATTTCCTGCCTTCTTTTGGGGTGATATGATGCTGATGGAGAAAGATGCAAATCTCTCCCACTCAAATTCTATAGCTCTTTGTGCTGCTCATCAGTCCTTTTTATTGGTTGCCTGGCACAATCTGCTCAGTAGCTATTCCAGATTTTTTCCACTGTGCTCATTTTCTTATGCAAAATCACAGAATCATGAGATCTTAGCAATCATCTGGTTCAACTTGTCGTTGAACAGGAATCATCTGTGTTCTTTCTGTGACAAGTGGTCTTCAGTGTTGTAGACTTCACTGGCAGTTGAGGCAACAGGCCAGATTGTTAATCACACGTTTCCTTTACATTGAGCCCAAGTCTGCATCTTTACAATTCCTGCCTACTTTGCTAAGTCTGCTTCCTGAAGCCAAGAGAATAAGTCTAAATCCTCTTTACCTAACTCCCCTTAAAATATTTAAAGATAGAAGTAGTTTTTCTTCTGATGCTTCTCTTTTCCAGGCTAATCAACTGATTCTTGAGTGGCCTGGTCTTTAATGCCTTCACTGTCATAGTTGCCCTCATATGACACTCCAGTTTGTCAGTATCCTTCTTAAAATGTGGCACCCAGAACTAAACTGTAGTATTCCAGATATGGTCTGACCAGGATAGAGTACAAAGGGCCTTTCAACCTCTCTCCCATGGTTACTGTGCCTTTATAAATTAATACTGAGATTGTGTTAGCTTTTTGCCTCCCCTATCGTATTACTGATTCATATCGAGTTTCAAATCCACTAAAACCCCCTCCTTCATTCCTAGCACATCATACTGCTTCCACCTTCATTCAATAAACATTTGTCGAGCCCTTGTTTAGAATTATGAAATTGTAGACTTAGAGTTGGAATAGCCCTTGGGTGTTGTCTTCACCATCTACAAGTAGGATCATAGGATTTAGAACCACAAAGGATTGTAGAAGGCATCTCGTCCAGCCTGTTCATTTCGAAAATGAGGGGGCCAAGGCCCATAGAGGTCAAGAGACTTGGTCAGTATCACAGATAGCATAGGCAATGCAGCCTGGATTTGTGCTCGAATTATTATTTGGAAGTTTTTCCTTAGGATGAACTAAAATCTGAGCCTCTGTAGCTTCTGTTCAGTGTTCTCAGTTCTGCCCTGTCATATGGTGTGGCTTTGAGTACCCTAACCATTCTATCAGTCTCTGCTTTGTCCCAGCTTGTCAGTGTCCTAAAATGACACTTGAAATGAATGAAGTTTCCAGATGTACTCTGAACACAGCAGATACAATAAGATTATCTTCTTACTCGCCCTGAACCTTAGACATCTTTTCATACCACTGAAGCTCCCATTCACTTTTTTGGTTCTCATCTGTTTTGAGTTTGCATTCTGCTAGAATGCCTGTTCATTTTGACGTTGGGCACTTGGAAGCCACACTACCCTTTCTTGTACTTGGGCGGTTTATTTTTATGAATTCAAAGAACTTCATTTCTTCCATATTGCATTCATCTTTTTAACTTAATCCCAGCCAAATTGTGTAGTTTTATATCCACAGTTCTAGAATCTGTTGTCTTAGCTATCACCCTTGGTTGAGTGTCACCAACAGATTTGGTCAAGATACCATCTATGACTTTATCTGGCACTGAAGTTTGTGCAGGTCATATTCCTTGGATTCATTGGGGTCAGCTAAGTACTGCCTCCAGCACTTTCCTTACTTATCTTGAGTTTCATTTCTCTTGTTATCCTTTCCAAATCATAGGTCATTCTCCTTGGTACAAAAGCAGGATAGCATTTGAATAATCCTGCCTTCTTTCTGTTGCTCATGATCATTTTCTCATCCACATCAAGGTACTATCCCATCTCTTGCTTGATTTTCTTGCTCTCAAGATAGCTTTAAAGAGCTCTTTTCATTGTCTTCACTGTTTGACCAAGCTGAAGCTCTTAGTGGTCTTTAACCTTCTCAACATTATTTTTTACATGACCTTGCTACCTTTTTGTGCTAATTCTTAGTTACCTGTGTAACAGCTAAAATTAAGGTAGACTGAAGCACAAAGTTCTGAGCCCAATCAGTTTATTAGTGAAGCTCAAATTTACCAATAAATAGGATCTCAGCTTCCCCAGCAAAGCTAAGACCCTGAATGGAAGGGACAGCTCTTTTTTATGCTTTCAGAGAGTACAAAAACAGGAAGGCAAGCATCATAGATGAAAAAAATATAATTGGGTGGATATTGGGAATGAGGGCTAGTAACAACCCTTTCCTTCCCTACTGTGAGTAAGAAATGTTTATTGTTAATTCTAGCTGTATGTGCAAGGAAAGAGATAGCTTTGGATGACAAGCCAGACATCCTTGAAGGGGTAGGTTGGTGGTGTAAAAGTACTAGATCAGATTCTTTGGTGTCTACCTGCCTCCTTCAAGGATAACATATTTCCTTGATAAACTGATGTTCAGTCATTTTCAGTCATGTCTGACTCTTCGTGACCCCATTTGGGGTTTTCTTGGCAAAGATACTGAAGTGCTTTGCCATTTCCTTCTCCAGCTCATTTTACAGATGAGGAAACTGAGAGGCAAACAGGGTTAAGTGACTTGCCCAGGGTCACACAGCTGGGATGTGACTAAGTACAGATTTGAACTCTGGAAGAGGAGTATTTCTGACTCCAGGCCCAGCATTCTATCCACTGTGCCACCTTGCTGCCCCGGACACAAGAATAGAATGTGATTAAGAGAACTGTATTTCTAAACTAAACTCATTGCAGGGCAGCTGAATTTCTGAACTAAGTTCAGAGACAAAGAATCATGATTTTAAACAGTTACAAGACAAAATCAATTCATTGTAAATGGGGTCAATTAAAAAAGACACAGAATGAATCTGATTATTTCAATTGCCTTTGCTTTCCTCTTTTACATACATGCATTCTTCTAAATTATGAGCACATTGATGAGCTCTCTGTTTAACATCATTTTTCTCTTTTAACAGTTCCTCCTTTCCTTCTCATTAGAATCAATTGACTGCAACTAAAGTTTAATTTGAGAGTCTACTATTCTTCAAAAGTACTTAACTTAAAAAAAAAGTTTCATTGGTGCTTTGTCTTTTTTAACATTATCATTGCTTCTCAATGATACTTCCTCCCCACTGTTCCCCAAGACCTCACTTCTAACAAAGGAGCACAACAAACCAACACATTTGTGCCATTCTTATTGGACTGAGTTCCCATATATCTTCTTGGCATATGGGATGCAACCTAGCTTATTTCTGTAACTCAATAGAAAGAATGCTGGATTTGTTGACCAGAGACCTTGGTTCAGATCCCAAACAAGTCATTTAACTTCTCTAGTTTTCTCATTTGTAAATTGAAGGGATCAGTCAACCAGTAAATATTTATTAAAAATCTGTTAAGTGTCAGGCATTCTGCTGAGGACTAGCAGTACAAAGACAAAATGCAGTCGCTGCTTTCAAGGAGCTCACAGTCAAAGGGAGGAGACAGCATTCCAGTAGCTGCAAACTAGGTCTATGCAGGAAAAATGGGAATTGATCAGTGTCGGGAAGGCCGTAGCATTACGGGGGAGATCAGGAAAGGCTTCTTGTGGAAGGTGGAATTGTTACCAGGGTGTGGCTGCTGCATGTGCTGTAGCTTTCGGAGCAAAGGTGAGAGTTAGGTGGAACATGTAGGCACCCAAAGGTGGAAAGCAGCCCTGAAAAGGGCTCGGCAGCCTTCACACCAGAGGTACTGCTAGTCTTCCCTGAACACATCCTACACCCCAGAAGGTAGAATTGTAGCTGGGACTTGAAGGAGGGTGGAGAGGAGGAGAAAGTATTCCAGGGCTGGGGGACAGCCAGTGAAAATGCACAGAGTTAAGAGATGGAGGGCCAGTGCCACTGGGTGACAGAATATGTAGGGGTAAAGTAAGAGGGTAGAAGAAGGCCAGATTGTAAATAGCTTTGAATGTCAAACAGTGAATTTTGTGTTTGATCCTGAATGTCATAGGGAACCACTAGAGATCATTGAGTTACCTAGGAAGAGGTGACGTGATCAGATCTGCTCTTTAGGAAGAGTAATTTGTCAGCTGAGTAGAAGATGGCACAGAGTGGTGAGAGCCTGGAGAAAGGGAGACCAAACAGCAGGCTTTGCAGTAGTCTAGATGTGAAGTAGTGACAGCTGGTACCGGTGTGGTGGCAATTTCAAAGGAATATGTAGGAGGTATTAGGAAGGTAAAATCGGCAACCCTTGGCAACAAATTCAGTATGGGGGTTGAAAGAGTGAAGAATTGAGGACAACACCTAGATTGTGAGCCTGGTGCCTGGGAGGGTGGTAATATCCTTTACAGTGAGAGGGAAATTCACAAGGCACGGGTGATTTGTGGGGAAAGGTAATGTTTTGGACATACCAAGTTTAATATGTCTTCAGGATATCTAATTTGATATGTCTTATAGGAAGTTGCAGATTCGAGTCCAAAGATTAGAAAGAAAGATTAGGG